TTGTATTTATCTTACCAACTAAAATATGTTGACACCCACCTGATCGAATTGAAAATTTTTTAGTTGAATTCAACGAGATATTTTCCGCCTATCCGACCAAATTGAATGAAATTTTTTTTATTCGAATTCTACGGATCCAATAAAAAAATTTTCATGCAATTTGATTGGGTAGGTGCCGAGATATTTTCGTTCAAAGTTCTCAAAAATAAAACGTCTATCAAAAAGTATATGCGGTAGAATGTTAGAACTTTGAACGAAAATATCTCGACACCCACCCAGTCAAATTAAATGATTTTTTTTTATTTGAATTATAGATGCCCGACGCAATTATTTTGCCGTTGACGAAATGACGCAACACATATGTTTCGTCATTGACGAAATGACGCAACTATATGATTGCGTCAGGTCACGTGAGTTGCGTCAGACATCACTAATTTGAATTCTACAAATCTGTAGAATTCAAATAAAAAAATTTTCATTTAATTTGGTTGGGTGATTGTCGAGATATTCTCATTCAAAAGCTTTCAAAAAATAAACCATAATTCAAATATGCAGGGTCATAACAATAGCACTATAGCGATATATCCAGTACTGCTACAATTACAACACACATGACAGTAAATTTGATGGCCCCCTGGTTGATTAGAAATGGACACTTTTTAACAAAATTTGACATTTTTATTATTCAAAGAAAGTTTTTAAAAAAAATACTTTCTGATTTTGGTTTACATTCAAGTTAAAATACCTCGATAAATTATTGTTGAAATTTAATTTAGAATAATGTATCTTGTTCACGTAAATATTCACCAATATCAGCCTGATGAAAAGCGACAATATCAGTAGGTTTTAGTTTGTGCATATCTACCGTAGAACGTGCGGTAACACCAAAACCCTATCGATAAAAAATCGATAAAAAATCGATAAAATAAAAAAATAAAAACAATCCGAACAAAAATATGTGTGGATAATTACCAAAGGTATATCAGACATTGAATATATTATAACACCTTGATGTTCGGATGTATCTTCAGTAATGCGCCCAAGATGAGCTTTTAAAACATGATTCCCGTATAAAAATGAACCTTCACCGTTTGGTTTGATCCATAGTTTATACTTTGTTAACGAGTAATTACCATCTGATTAATACTAAGTAAATATTCTATTGTATTCGAATTTTAATCATACCTTTGCATACTGAGCAAGATAATCTAATGCAGTAATATGAAGCTTGAACTTCTTTGATTTGGTAAATTTCCCAAAGCATACACCCAAAGAAGCTAATTGATCACGGCCTACGCTAACTGCTTGGCGTAACATTGAGTCACTTTGAAAAGTAAATAAATGTAAAGTACTGTTATTATAGACTTGTAAATGCGTGTTATTGTGTAAATAAATTTCGCGATTCATAAACTTTTGAAACTTCAACGTTTTAGACAGTAATTTCCCCCACCTAACATAATAAACCTTTTCATTATGTAATCTAAAATAATAAGTTTCATCCGACCGATCAACTAAATGCAATACATTTTTTCCGATGCTATTAAATTTAAGAAGAGAAAGTTATTATACTAGTAAAAATAATTAACTCGATAAGGAGAAAGAAACTTGCTATTTAGTTAATTTTTCAAAAAACACTTTAGTCTCGTCTTCGGTCAAGGGTCTCATTTGTAGATTATCATATATCGATATGAATTATTTTATCGACCGTCTGACTGACACCAAAACGGCTAAAATTACACAGGTACAAGGTCCAGACAAGGACTTGTTCTATAAATAGTACATATTTTTACATCGTACTTTTAATCGATTGCTTTGTTTCAACGCGCTCGTAATCTTTGAATTTTACTTTTTATATTCTACAGAACACTTTTCATGTAAGAAGCTGCTTTTGAACTTTCGCATTCGAGTTTCCAGGTTTATTACCTTGTTAATGATCTGAACTATTATGTAGCATTCATCATGGAGTATGCACAAAAGCTTTTCGGAAAAAAAACTAGCCCGGATGAAATGGTAACATTCTTTCTTCCTTTTTGCATAAACAGCGGTTCTTAGAACTGCGGAACTCTTGTTAAAAGTAAGCCGTAATTGCCGGTTCCTTACAAATTTGGAGGAGAATCTACGCTTAAATAATAATACTGTTTTTTTGGATTCCTTTTGTTGGGACAAAACTAACCTGAATTTTCAATTTTTTTATAAGGTAAAAAAATGGCAACGGGATATTAGAACACAGCAACGCATAATTGAACGTCAAATAAAGGAATTTGGTGATGTGGAAAAAAAAACAACGAATCTTTTAAAGCAAAACGCAAAAAAAAATGATGTAAAAGCTTGTAAACTTTTTGCGAAAGAGCTAGTAAGAACACGACGTCAGATAGTAAGATTGCATACCAGTAAAGCACAGTTAAATTCGATCCAGTTACAACTTCAACATCAACTAGGTAAGCAAGACTTAAAATTTAATGTTATAATCAATAAATCCTATGTTTATGTGCATTATTTAATTTAGCTACTCTGAAAATTACTGGATCGCTAAATAAAAGCGTTGAAGTTATGAAGATGGTTAATGGGCTAACAAAGTTACCAGAAATATCGAAAGGAATGCAAGAATTATCAATGGAAATGACAAAGGTATGCTATCAGCTATTTGGAGATTAGTTTTACTGGAAAGTCTCAAATAGCAAGTATTGGCATTATTTTGAGCTATGGCCCAAATTAAGTTTAATTCGAGCCGTAACCTCTTCAACGCATGGGGCGTCTATTATTTGAAATCGCAGTAGACACGATGCGTTTTTTTTTTAAATCCTAACAGTCATAATATTTTGGTTAGGCTGGTATCCTTGATGAAATGATAGAAGACACATTTGAATCATTTGAAGATAGTGATATTGAAGAGGAGGCAGAAGAAGAAGTCAACAAAGTTCTGTTTGAACTTACTGATGGTACGATGCACACTTATTTGCTCCTATTTTTACAAGCTTTCATTGATATTAATATTATATATTTTTCCCTTAAGGTTTAATTGGCGAAGCTGGTGAAGTCGGTGCACCACTAGATGTAATGAAATTTTTGCTATATTATTGTGATCCGTTTCCTTTACTGCTAAACAACTATTTATATTAATATATTCTTTGCTACTGAAATTATAGCTAAACGTTGAAGAGGAGGAGGAAGAACCGGAACTCAACGAAATGCAAGCTAGGCTACAAGCATTAAAATCTTGATACTCTTTTTTCAATCTCTTCAAAGATTTATACAAGCTTTGTCTTGATGAATTTTATAGAATATTTGGCATTTTGGTTTTATCAGAATTTGAATCTATATTAGTACATAGAAAGCTATTCATTAGTTCACGACATAAATGATACTTGTATTGTAGTAAAAAAAAAAAGATTATTTAAATTTGATAAAGTTTTCGAAAGATCCGATCAGCGAACCTACATGTGAAGGTTGTCACGTGTATGCTTCTTCCATACCTATAATGTGCTTGTTGGATTGAAGCACAAATTAACCAATTTAAGCAAGACATGTTCTTACTTGTCCTTACATGTAATGATAACCACCATGCGGTTTAAAGTCCATGTTATACAAAATCGATATACTCCCGGTAATCAGCTGTGATAACAAATTCTGTGAAAATCTGTCCTGTTTTAACATATATTACGCAGATAAAGATTGAATTCTATAGTGGTTACGGTTGAGGAAATATTTAACTAACACAATAATAGGGCGAGGTAGAGTTTGGAACCGGTTTTATTTTTCATGTTAAAACCGATTAAAACACCGGTTCCTAACTCTAGACCATATATAAAGAGCCTGATCTATATCCGGTAATACATTGTTAGGATATTTGGTGCTGGAAGCCTATGCTCAGCGAAATGATAAAATTTGTAATCGCGGTATTGTACCCGGGGAGACATTTTATTATATGGCTATAATAAATTACCCGGATAACCGGATAATTTAACAATATCTAATACAATCACATACAGTTGCCTCTCTCTATTTGGCCCAAACCTTAATAAACTTTGTGAAAACCAAACATAAAACTTTCATTTATAAGGGAAAAAAACCCCCCGCAAACAAATGAACTTATATGTATGCGAGGTGATCATACCTCTGTTGAATATTGTGATGAGCGATTTGCTGAGAATTGCGTAGGAAATATGGTAAATTTGTTAAGTTAGATAAGTCTGGTTACTACTTAATTTCTTTTGGCATATGGCTAAAGCATTATAGCTGAAAATCAGTGATAAGGAAAGTAGTTAGCTAATGCGATGCGTAAGGCTTGGACGTGCTTAATTAATGTGAATCTTAATTTTATTTCAAAATTGGTACTCGGAGATTATAAAAGTTGCCCGCTTTTCAAAAGACTCTATCGACTCTATAAGAAGTATATCTCAGCTACAAAGGGTGTTTAAAAATAAATCGCAAGATATATATTATCTATTTTTACTATTAACATCGCGAGTAAGCAATATATATAATTATTATATTTAACTAGCCCTATTGTCCTATTGTTGATAAAAATTTTGTAATGATGTATTAGAAGTCTGGAATTATAAGTACTGTTGCTTGAACGGGCTTCAATTCCTTTATACATAACATCACCATTATGTGTTATTTCAATTTCGTCATCTTTTAACTGGTGTCACAAAGCATATTTATTTTTTTTTCTGCTAAAAATTTATTTCTGCTCTGATTTGCGGAAATTTGACGTAGATATTAATCACATGATTAAACCGGATAAATTGATAATTGGTTTCAATTTAACGGAATCAATCAGATAAATATTATTACACACACAAAAGAGCGATAACTGTTGATAAAATTGGATAAAATTACCATTATATCAGTAATATAGAAGAAATTCAAAAAAGTGATAAACTAAAGTAATATCCATTAATTTGTTTTTTTAACCAATTCATTTAAAAGAAAACAGTATAAAGTCACAATGTTGTGCACATACATTCAAGCCATTCATTCGACTTTGACAACGAAAAATGATATACAAATCCTATCATTTTCAACTTTCTCACACATTTTTGTTAACACTATTCACGGTGATCACTCGAACTTTTGCAGCCCCATACCCAACATTTCAATCGATTATTCAAGAAAACCATCAATTAAATGAAAGAACTTTATGTCATCCTGATTTCTTCTACAATGACGAATGTCAAACGTGTCCATTCTCACATTTTCAACAGTTCGGTAATTGTATGGGATTCAATCCAGTTTGTCCTTTGTGTAGCCCAGTGATGCCTTTAATGCCATCATATCCACAACCGCCATCACCACCCCCACCTCCACAACAATCATCACCTCCAGAATCACCACCTCCACAACAATCATCACCTCCAGAATCACCACCTCCACAACAATCACAACCTCCAGAATCGCCACCTCCACAACAATCACAACCTTCGGAATCGCCACCTTCACAATCGCCACCTCCACAAGAATCATCTCCTTCGTCTCAGCCACCCTCACCGTCTCCGCCACCCTCATCAATCACTAATACGTACGATGAACAATCAGTGGTTACAAAACCCGTTATCGTTATTGTGGATGACCAACCCCAACCAGAAAAATGTGAAGAAGAAAGCGAACAACCTCCAAAGCAACATGAAGAAAGTAAACAACCTCCGGAACCATGTGAAGAAGAAAGCGACCAACCTCCAAAACAACATGAAATAAGTAAACAACCTCCGGAGCCATGTGAAGAAGAAAACGAACAACCTCCAAAACAACATGAAGAAAGTGAACAACCTCCAGAGCCATGTGAAGAAGAAAGCGAACAACCTCCGGAGCCATGTGAAGAAGAAAACGAACAACCTCCGGAGCCATGTGAAGAAGAAAGCGAACAACCTCCGGAGCCATGTGAAGAAGAAAGCGGACAACCTCCGGAGCCATGTGAGGAAGAAAGTGAACAACCTCCGGAACCATGTGAAGAAGAAAGCGAACAACCTCCGGAGCCATGTGAAGAAGAAAGTGAACAACCTCCGGAACCATGTGAAGAAGAAAGTGAACAACCTCCGGAGCCATGCGAAGAAGAAAGCGAACAACCTCCAAAAAAACATGAAGAAAGCGAAGAAAGTGAACAACCTCCGGAGCCATGTGAAGAAAGCGAACAAGAAAGTGAACAACCTCCGGAACCATGTGAAGAAGAGAACGAGCAACCTCCAGAACCATGTGAAGAAGAGAGCGAGCAACCTCCGGAACCATATGAAGAAGAGAGCGAACAACCTCCAGAACCATATGAAGAAGAGAGCGAACAACCTCCGGAACCATATGAAGAAGAGAGCGAACAACCTCCGAAACCATATGAAGAAGAGAGCGAACATCCTCCGGAACCATATGAAGAAGAGAGCGAACAACCTCCGAAACCATATGAAAAAAGTGAACAGCCTCCGGAACCATATGAAGAAGAGAGCGAAGAACCTCCGGAACCATGTGAAGAAGAAAGCGAACAACCTCCGGAACCATATGAAAAAGAGAGCGAACAACCACCGGAACCATATGAAGAAGGCGAACATCCTCCGGAACCATATGAAGAAGAGAGTGAACATCCTCCGGAACCGTGTGAAGAAGAAAGCGAACAACCTCCGGAACCATGTGAAGAAGAAAATGAACAACCTCCGGAACCATGTGAAGAAAATAAACAATCTCCGGAAAAGTTCGATGAAAATTTTGAAGCTGAGCAACCTCAGGAAGGTAAGAAAATTAAACAATTTCTAATCTTAACCCCTGCTGAAGTACCGATACAAACTCTAAAGGAAATACCAACATCAGCTCCGATTGAAACGTTGCCATCAACGACTTTTCCTGTTCTTACTGAAACTCTAACCGAAATACAGATAGAAACACCAACTCTAAGCGAAGCGCCACCGTCAACAACTTGTCCTTTTCCAACCGAAACACAAACATCGAGCGAAACGCCGCAGCCAACAATTTATTCTATTGAAACACAAATCCCGAGCGAATCGTTACCATCAACGTCACCTACTGAAACTCCTACTGAAATTCCTACTGAAATTCCTACTGAAATTCAAACTGAAGTGCAACCGACACAAAGCCAGAGCGAAGCACCACCAACATCATGTCCTGATTGCGAAGAAATCGTTTCTTATACTGATTCCGGTGATGAAGTACACAGCTGGGTTAAGTACATATGGCAATAGAAGTAAACGAAGCCAAACATAGCTATTTTATCTTTTTTTTTGATCTATATTTTCTATTGTTAAATTATTACATCATAAGGACATATAAATATGTATAAAATATGTATAAATATGTGTATACTTTTAATATTATATCAATAATAAATATTTACCTTATAGTGTCTAATATACATTTTGTATGCGTAACGATTTGGAATGTGCTATTCATAGTGGGTGGAAGCAGTGTTGGAAATCATATGTTCACGGTGTTCACAGTGAACATAAATTTTTTAAAAAAATCAATTTTATTTTATCTTCACATTTGTGAACATAAATAATTTTTATCTAATTAATAAAATTTTATTTGTGATCATTATTTGATAAAAAAGTATGTTCACAAAATCATTATATTGTCTTTTGAATTTCCAACGCTGGTCGGAAGCCGGATGTTTTTTTTCGCGTACAGCACGTACAGTCGTATCAGGTATAGCGTGTTGTTGTTGGACCGTTCTAGTGAGATCACTAGAACCAGGAAGGATACTATATTAAATTAGAAGATATAACCGTTCCAGTGGTTGCTGTCCCAGTCGGGGGGTTTTTTTACCATTGGGTAGAAGGTCCTTGATGCTTAGCGATGCCAGTAATAAAAGAATTTTTTTGTGTCAACTCGTGATTCACAGAATTAAATTCAAAAAAGAACGCTAAATTCGATTAAACATTTTAATTATTAATTAAAATATTTATACAAAATTAATTAGTTTATTTTATTTAATTTTTTAATTAGTTTTATTGCCATATTCTACAAAATTAAATACTATCTTCAATTTTATTTCTTAAAATTTTTATAAAATTTTATAGCATTTTTTGTTATTTTTTACAAAATTAAAAAAAAGAAATAATATTATATTTAATATAGTTAGACCAATTCCTTAAATGCAACACCTCTTTAAATGCACGATAGAAGGTTAACTTTACAATGGAACTTATAGATAAACGCATATTCTTTATTCTGTAATTGTTTTTCCTATTTATAGAAATTTCTTCTTACATAATTATTACTACGTAGCCAATTAAATTTATTATTTTTAACCTACTAAAGTTATGTTTATATATAATAATATATAGTTACAATATGATTTTATTAGTGTGTTCTACTGTAATACATAGCAACCTTTTCTAAATGCTCTAAAGCTAGTTCTAATAACATGTATCTAGAAAGGTCTAACTGTAATAAATATATTTATATTTATATTACCGTTGTAAAAGTGGAATAAGTAGTATAAAACTAATAACTAACTAAACTCTATCTACACAATACTAAAAATTCTAATAAGGGACAAAGCCGTGGCTCCAAATGTGGAAGGCAATGATCGAGGCATGGAAAAACTTGGTCCGAGTATTTGGTGCTTCGGGCTTTGTGGGGGAATGAGATAAGTATATTCTACAGTTTTTGCTGTACTTTTAGGTAGTTAATACCGATAAATAGTCAAAGAAAACCTCTTTTAGTATTTTGTATAATAGGGTTTTGATATTTTCTTACAATCGCTAGAGCTCTAGCGAGGGTCATGTGGTCACGTGTTAATGAAATTCGATCTTTGTTAACTTTGATTATTTGACGTAATAGTCAAATAATGATGACTTTTAACAATGATGGATTTGATTAAGGTTTTGATCTAATTTTTAGTATTTAAAAAGGGTCTAAGTACTAATCTAACAATTTTTACTCTTTTCTCTTACTAAAAGATCAGTTCTTTCGGCTATCACAGGGACAAGAATTATGCAATAAAGTGGTTTAAACTTTAAGAATTTCAGGAAGTCAAGAATATTTTTATTTCAAACAATTTATCTTATATAGTTTTAATGATCAAGAAAATGATTTTTAGAGAACTAACTTCTACTATTATCGCTTTCGAAGTATAGAACTCATACGAGTTAGAAGTTTTATTACAGCAAAAGTTAGGTCTTATATACTTTTGATCTTTACTGCATACATAAATGCTTTTCACTGACTTTTACTATTCTAATATATTGTTTTAGTCACTTTAGAATAAAAGGAGCGAAATGGGGGCAAAATTGCACCTGGCTTATACAACTAAGGCGAAATCATACTAGGTGCAAAACTGCCCTAGGTGCAAATTTGCCCCAGGTATGAAATTCCTATTTTTAATAACACATACTATCTCAACTTCATAATAATAATAATAATAATAATACTAATATAATAACAATAATAGATAAAAATAAATAATTGAGAATGATAATAAACTAATAAAAAAAAAAAATTCTTAGGTCACAGCTTTCTGGCCTCTTCACACTCTCCCATGCTTAAGAGGTGAGTACTACGAGCAATTACATGAGCAACCACTCATAGTCATCACTGGACAACTTTCTGACTTTATTCAAAGTCATCCAATTGGTGCAGTAGAGGTAGTTTATACCCAAAGGTTCGAATAAGTGGTATACGCGAATGGCGGCATTAATATAATAATGGGGATACTATGTTGTAGGTCAGTAAGTTGTTGTGGTCGCGCTTGTTTAAGTAGAGCACCCAAGTAGAAAGCATTAACAAGACTTTCTATTCTCTCATCCTTGTCCAGAGCTAAGCGGATGGCCTGGTAGGCTGCTTCAGCCTTGACTTCGAACCTTTGCCCATCGTAGTAGGGGCAAGATGTTGGTTGGACGGGTAGGATATTGATAGTACACCTATCAATATGGATCTGAAGGGCAGAGGTACTTGGCATTGTTTCTTTCTTTGTTTTGTTTTTTTTTTTTTTTTGTTGTTTTGGTTTTTCTTTTTTTTTTTTATTTATTTATTTATAGTCCTCTAATTTATTTACCCATGCTTATTTAATAATTCCTACTATAGTCTTTCTTGAGCACTAATTATTTTTGTGTATGATGACCCTTCTGGCCTTTAATTAATTCTTTGTAGGGAGAATTTTCGCCCTTACAAGGAATCATAGTAGTCCCAGTCAATGTACATATCAAACATCTGGGTATCATCCCATTCTTCCGCATTGAATTCTTCATTGAGAGTCATTTCACTCTCTTCGTTCATATCTTATCCGTAGTGGTTGGCATCGATGTAAGTATTATAAAAGTCATAGCTTGTGTTATCATAATCTTCATTTTCGAATTCTACTCCTTTAACTGATTCTTCCCATATGGGTATATTGATCAAATAAACTTCATCGATGTCTATAGGTTGAGCTTTGTTGCTATAAAAATCTTTGTTGATACATTCTTCCCAATACTCCTGAGTAGTGGACCAAGTAATTATTCTTCCGGTTTCTAGGACTAATTCTTCTAAGAGCTTTTGATGACTTTGTTCCAGATTTGTAAGTTCTTCGTTTTCATTATTTGCCTGTTCTTTGTATTCTACTTCTTCAATAATTTCATCATTATCTTCCCATTCATCCCATTCTATGTCTTCATATCTGGTTATTGTATCTGTTTCTTTGTCGGAGTCTTCAGGGAAATAATTTTTCACCATGACCCGAAAAATTTTTACTTCTTCTATGGCTTCGGTTACTTGGGCCTTGATAGTTTCTACTCTTGTTTTAGAGAAACTATCAGCATTCTCTATATCAGCTGCTTTTTGAGGGCAGTTGGTTATTTTTCTTTCACTTTCTTCATCTCTGGGTTTTTCTTTGATCATTCTTGATAATGCATCGGCATTGTTATGTTTGCGCCTGCTCGATGAATTATTGTGAAGTTGTAGGGCTATAAGCTTAAAATTCATCGTGCTCTTTGACCTTTGGGTTCAGTAGTTTGTAGCCACTTGAGCGCAGCGTGATCAGTTAGGATGGTAAACAGTTGATAACCCAAATAGGGATAGAAATGTTTCACGCCCCAAATTATGGTGTAGCACTCTAATTCGGTGGCCGCATAATTTCTCTCAGCCCTAGTGAGGCTTTTGCTAGCATAGGCTATAACATACTCTTTTCTATTTTCTCCTTTTTGGGCTAATACAGCTTCTAGCCCGACTCCAGAAGTGTTGGTGTGGAGATAGAAGGTCTTAGAAAAGTCGGGGTATCTTAAGACCAGCACAGTTGTTAGGTGGGTTTTTAAGGTTTGAAAAGCTTTTTTTTGATCTACTCCCTACTCATACTTCATGCCTTTTTCTAACAGGATATGTAGTGGTTTGGCGAGGGTGGCGAAGTGTGGTATGAAATGTCTATAGTATGATGCTAAACCAATAAACCCTTGTAACTGTCTCAGGTTTGTTGGAGTAGGGAATTCTTTTACTTTTTCTATTTTTAGTGGGTCTGGCCTTATTCTGTCCTTTTCTACTATGTGACCTAAAAATTGAATATTATGTTTAAATAGGTTGTATTTTTCCAAGTTAAGTCTCATTCTCACGGCTTTAATTTTTGTAAACACTTTTTGCAGGTGTTTTATATATTCCTGGTAAGTCTTTGAATATATTATTATATTATCTAAATACACAGCAGTAAATTGTTCTAAGAATTCTTCCAAAATTTTATTCATAGTTCGCTGGAAAGTTGCGAGAGCATTACACAACCTGAACGGCATGACTCTAAAGGTGTAAACTCCTTGCTTGGTAACGAATGCCGTTTTTTCTTGATCTTTAGGTTTTACACCAATTTGCCAGTATCTACTAGCCAAATCAAGGCTTGAAAACCATTTGGCTTTACCGAAGATTTCGAGTAGATCATCAATACGAGGTAAAGGGTAAGCGTCTTTTTTTGTCACGGCATTGACTTTACGATAATTTACGCATAACCTAAGTTTTCCATTCTTCTTAGATACTATTACAACTAGTGATGTCTAGGAGCTCTTTAACTCATAAATAAGGCTATTATCCAATAGCTTCTTTACTTCTTTATTTAAGAAGTCTTGTTCGTCAGGCGCTATATGGTACACAGCTTGCTTAACTAGCTTGGCATCCCCATGTCGATTTCATACTGTATATCCACCATGTATCCTATTTTATCTAATTTGTTTGAAAATAATTCCTTATATTTTTCCAGGATTAATTTTGCTTTTTCCTTTCATTTTTCACTTAGAGTATTCGTTTCTACTAATTTTTCTACCGTTTCTTCAGGTATTAATTCAGGGACTTTGTCTTCTTCTGGAATTGGTAGCTCCTCAATGGTGGTTAGATAAATTGCAGGGTTTTCCATCTCTTCCCAGAGTTGTTTATACCTTTCCTGGTCTTTAGCTTTATCTATATGGTAACTTTTAACTTCCTCGGTTTCTTTCTCTTCAAAATTGTTAAAGTAATCGTCATCATCGTTGTTGCTTGTTTCTTGGGTTATTACTGATTGACTTTCTTTTGCTTGGTAGATAGGTACCTCTATACTTTTACCTAGGTATCTTAAGATTAGCTTCCCTTTGTTGAAATAAAGTCGGGCACAAACTTTTTGGAATCAGTCCATTCCTAACAGCATTACTTCTTCAGGATTCTTGATTACCTGGAAGGCAGTAGGCACTATTACACTTCCAACAGCTAACCTTACATCAGGGATTCTTCCTAGGGCTCGTTCTCGGGTCCTATTGGCTATCACTATGATCGTGTTGGACAGTTTGGTGATTTTAAGGTCAAGTTTTTTTGCTAATTTTTTTGAAATAATGCTAACAGTGGCCCCAGAGTCTAAAACCGCTAATACTAGATTATTTTTGACTCTAACATAGCACTTAGCGGCGGTTGTCCTAATATTGAGCAAAGGTTCAACCAGGTTAGTTTCTTCCGGCATGACTATAAGTGGGCATCGTAAGACATGAGACAGGTTTTGCTTTTGTTTTAGCACTTGGAGTAACTGCGCATAAGTTGCATTAGCGCATTGACTTAGTAGATCTTCTGCGATGTTGTAGGGCAATGTTAAGTCTACTACTAAAGGTTTTCGTCGACGCTTTGGTCGATTATTATTTTCTGTTTGAAACTATACTAGGGTCTGAACAGGTACTTGTAGTCCTTCCATTGGTGTGGGTTGGTTTTGCTGAGTGGATTGGGTTGCTTGAGTTTGATCAGTGACAATTCTTTTCCTCAATCGTTTATCCCAGTTGGGTTCTGCTTGACGTTTAATTGTGTAGATTTCTTCCACCGGGCTGAGTTGATATACATCACACATGTTGATGTTCCGAGTACTGGTGCTACTCTCATTTGTCATGGGTGGTTGTGTTCTGGGCATTGATTTTTTTTCTAAGAGATAGTTATAAGCTATGTGGCTTTTTTCTCCACAATTATAGCACGTAATGCCTCCATTCTGGTTCTGATGGGGCAAGTTCTGTCTTCGTGGGGTTGGGTTGGAGCAACTTTGGCTCTAGCCGCTAGGATAGTGGTTAATTTTTTATAATTAATGGCCATTTGTTGCATTTTCTGAGTCAATTCACTAATAAGCTTATGAGTAGGTTCTTCTTCCTTTCTATTTTTGTAGTAATTGCCGGCTTCGACTCTTCGAGCTGCTGCTATGGCTTCATTCAAGGTTTCGGGGTTCTTTAAAGACATTAGTACCGTGGTAGTCCCATGAAGACCTCCTAAAAACATTCCTACGATGTATAGTGGGGGAATCTGGTGATCTGGGTTGACTTTTTCTTGAATTTGTAGGCATATCTATTGACTTTTTCATTTTCGTTTTGGGCGAGATTACTTAGCTCCATTTGCCATTGGTGTTTTCTTTCTGGCATAGCAAAGTGTTTGATAAAGGTTTGGATGAAACTGTCTTCTGGATTGTTCTCATCATCTCAAAAGAGTAACGCTTTTTTATAGTTATTATACTAGCTGGCAGCGATTTCAGCTAGATGTCTTGATGCAATTTTAATCTTTCTTGCTAATGTCCAATTATTAGCGTTCGCGGCTCTTTCAAAGGCCTCTACCCATTTCACAGGGTTTTTATCCTCCTTTCCTTTGAAGGTCTTTACATGGACCTAATTATTTTTGCGATTGGTAGACGGTATATCGTGTAATGCGACTTGCCTAAATGCTTAAGCAATTTCCCAGAGCAGATTTTGGGCCTGATTTTGGTTTACCGGTTTGTCATGATAGGCTAGTGGGTTTTCGTAGATGCCAAGCCTATCCCCGTCAATAGTTCTATTCTCTTCGAAATTATCTAGGTCCGACATTTTGCAATCAGATACGTTTATATTTAATATTTTTAAAGGAAGTTTGTTTGTAGAAAGTTGAAATAATAGTGGTTTGGGGTGCAGTAAGTATCTCATAGTCACCACCAAGTGTAAAAGTGGAATAAGTAGTATAAAACTAATAACTAACTAAACTCTATCTACACAATACTAAAAATCCTAATAAGGGACAAAGCCATGTCTTCAAATATAGAAAGCAACGATCGAGGCGTGAAAAAACTTGGTCTGAATATTTGATACTTCGGGCTTTGTGGGGGAATGAGATAAGTATATCCTATGGTTTTTGCTATACTTTTAGATAGTTAATACCAATAAATAGTCAAAGAAAACCTCTTTCGGTATTTTGTATAATAGGGCTTCAGTATTTTCTTACAATCGCTAGAGCTCTAGTGAGGATCACGTGGTCACGTGTCAATAAAATTCAATCTTCGTTAACTTTAATTATTTGATGTAATAGTCAAATAATAATGACTTTTAACAATAACAGATTTGATTAAGGTTCTGATTTGATTTTTAGTATTTAAAAGGGGTCTAAATACTAATCTAACAATTTTTTCTCATTTCTCTTATTAAAAGATCAGTTCTTTCAGGTATTACAAGGACAAGAATTATGCGATAAAGTGGTTTAAACTTTAAGAATTTCGGGAAGTCAAAAATACTTTTATTTCAAACAATTTATTTTATATAGTTTTAATGATCAAGAAAATGATTTTTAGAAGACTAACTTCTACTATTATCGCTTTCGAAGTATAGAACTCATATGAGTTAGAAGTTTTATTATGGCAAAAGTTAGGTCTTATATACTTTTGACCTTTACTGCATACATAAATGCTTTTTACTAACTTTTACTATTTTAATATATTGTTTTAGTCACTTTAGAATGAAAGGAGCGAAATGGGGGCGAAATTGCACCTGGTTTATACAACTAAAGTGAAATCGTACCAGGTGCAAAACTGCCCTAGATGCAAATTTGCCCCAGGTGTGAATTTGCCCCAGGTATAAAATTTTTATTTTTAATAACACATACTGTCCCAACTTCATAATAATAATAATAAGAATAATACTAATATAATAACAATAATAGACGAAAATAAATAATTGAGAATGATAATAAACTAATAAAAAAAAAAAATTCTTAGATCATGACTTTCCGGCCTCTTCATACTGTATAGCGCGGACTATAGTACCCCAGGTACAATATGTTCTACAGACAAAATCCAAGTTAGTACCCAGGTACTACAGTACTACAGTACTATACTAAGTAATTTTTTATATAAAAATTTTTTTACATAGTATATACCTGCCAGGTACTTTATATTCAACCATATAATTTTTTTAAGAAGGGTACTTTGATATGGGAGTACTATAATCCATGTTATATAGTACTATAAATATATTTTTTTTATATTTTAACTATTTTTAACAAATAATATAAAATGCACCTATAGTGTTTAGCACTATATATAATTGTTTTTAATAAAATTTATAGTATGGGTATTAGGAATTTTTTTTTTTTTATATAATATAATATAGAGCTAATATAAAATCTCAATCTTAGTTTTCATAAGATTTTTGGGTCCTGAACATTTTTACTTAAAATACCCGATCCCGTTTACTTAGTATATTTTTAAAAAATAGAGACTTATGGTGTTGAACACCATAGGTGCAGAATAGTAGTGTTGATTTTTAATTAGTAGTAAAATATTATTTTTGTACAAATTTGCTAAAAATTAAATAATGATTTTTTATTTTTTATTATTTTTTAAAACTGTCTTTACTAGTGGAGATTTACATATTAGGTTTGTATATTACAACTATTACAGGTCGAAATAAGACAAATCGGGTTCAAATCAGCACAAAATCCTAATATGAACCTGATTTGAAATAGTTATTTGGTGCAGATATGAGATCTAAAGGATACAATTCGGATTAATATCAGCATACAAGATGATAGAGCTATAAGATAAGCTCTATTGATTTACCTATTAAGCTATCGTTTTGCTGATATGTCTTGTATGCTAATATTAATTTGAATTGTATCTTATAGGTCTCATATTTGCACCAAATATCTGTTTCAAATCGGGTTCATATCAGGATTTTGTGATGCCGATTTGAACCCAATTTATCCTATTTCGACTTGTGTTTTTTATAACAATAATAATTATTCACTCTTGTTAATTAATTCTATTATTTAATCTCCCATATATACTAATCTATATATACTGTTTAATCAACATGTGTCTTATTAGATTAATACAACATTTCTAATACATATCTAGCTTCAATATAATTATTATTTGAATATTTGCATCTGGGCTAAACTATAATATTACAATTATCTAATCTTTATAAGGTTTATCCAAATTTTAATCTCTATTTATAATACAATATATCTTCAATATTTGTCATATTAGCTGATTTATGTAATTACTATTAAAAATTTAAAATATTTGACAAAAATAACTTTTGGCCTACTAGTTCATTTTAGATGATTTTATTATCAAAATGACTGTTACAGTAAAACTATTCTAAAAAGTTTAAAATCATTAAAATCTAATTACTGAATCCTGAGAAAATTGCTAAGTTGTTTTCATTAAATAAAATAGAATAGATTAAATTTATCTTATTTTATCTGATATAAACAAACTATTAGTAATTTCAGAATTTAGTAATTAGATTTTAATGATTTTGGGCTTTTTAGAATCATCTTACTAAAACAGTTATTTTGATAATAAAATCATCTAAAATAAACTAGTAAGCCAAAAGTTATTTTTTGCCAAATATTTTAAAATTTTTATATAGATTTGCTAATATGTTTACAAGCTTTTTAAACTTTTAA